CTGCTTCATCAATACCTTTGTAATTCAACAACAACAAAAAAATTAAAAAGCATCTGAAGAGCTTTGCATGGTAAACATCAGAAAAACACGGCTTTCCAACCCTGCAGCCAGTTGTTCTATAATACCTTCTGCTTTGTGCTGACAACCTTTTTTCCCTCCAATCATTCAGACACAATGCCTCCAGGTCTGTCTAAGTAATGTAATTTACTGGAGTGGAATTCCCTTGATACCTTCTGCAGCACTCAGTGACAGTATCATTTATACTCTACACTGTCATGCCATGACACTGATACATTGGCTTTCATCCCTCATTCAGCACAGAGGGTGCAATTTCACCTTCCATTGTGCCCTTTCACAGACTGCGCGTACAAATTCCCTCCATTCATTCCTAATTACAAACCTCTGCTGAAATACTCTCATTAGATTTATATTTCTCACTCCAAAGTGTCAATCTTATTTGAAAATTCCAATTTTCCGGCAGATTCATCCATTAGCAGCAACCTCCAAAGCATTCCTTAACCGAGTACGTTAAAAGTGAAGCTGGCAGAGCAGACACACACTTAAAATACACCATTACAGCAAATCTCCATTGCTAATGTTTTTGCATTGTTCGAGCACGCAATAAGGAGCGTGTGACCAGCCAGCCCTGTTCCTTCAGCAAGCCACAGGCACAAGCCAGCAGTCAACTGCTGTGCCTGGCTCTACTCCCACTGTGAGGCTGCCTCGCATCCCCAGTCGTCTCCCATTCCCCCTGGCTGCATGGGCAGGGATCGCTGTCTGACTGGGATCTGCTGCCGCTGTCTCAGAGGACCTCCCGCTACATCACAGGGAGCAGCAACAGCCAAGGTGGCTGCTTTAAAGCCTCCAGAAAGTGAAAGCCATAGAAAGAGTTTATAACAACTGTAAAAGTGCCTGTGTGCAGCTTGTTTGCTGTGGGAAAGTTAAAAATAAAACAAGCTGGGGGTTTCCTGAAGTAGCAGATCTTCTGTGATACAACCCAACAGGTTGTTAGAGCTCTTCAGATGAAAATCTCAACAGCATTTGCTTCGGTTGCTTACGCTAATCCTAATTTAGTGGCCACATGCAGGGCTGTTCCCTTTAGAGGATGTCCAGAAAACACAATTCCACAGACTCCACAGCGCAGCTCTGGTTAGAAGAATCAAAAAGAGATCTGTCTACCTCTTCAAGAGAAAGGTAAACACCTTAAAAACCTCATCACCATACAAGGGAAAAAATGAAGAGCCCAGCAGCAAGTACTGATAGTTGCACGACGTGTCCCATGTGCCATCACTAAAAATAGCCCATGGGGCGATACTCCTGGAAAAGACCAGCATGTCTCATCCAGATGGAAAGCGTGGCAGCCGTGAGCAGCGTGTGAGTGCCATCGCTGCATGACGCACTCTCCTGCCATTATCTTCAAAGCCATCAGATTTGAACTCATCTGCATTGGGTGCAGGAGCAGAAAGGAGGGGGGGAAGAGAAGACATGAGAGAAAAAACCCACCTCTACATCTGTACCAAAAAGGGAAAATTCCACAGAAAAAATAACAAGCACTTATGTTGCTTGTCAGCAACTGGTCACCTTTAGAACCTAGACATCCAGGTAATTATAACAGATGTAATACGCTGCAGCAACCACTGCTGTGGAAACTTGTTATTGCTAAAGTTTTGCCCATTCCCACCTGAAACATTTAAAACCCTGATTACTGCATTACCTTTCTTGCCTTTCATACTCTATGTCAAGGCAGGAGCTGGTCCAAAGCATGCACACAGATACAAAAGCAGAAATGAATGTTTCAGCAAGACAAAAGTAAGGCAGCAACGACAAGCACCAAGCTCTCCTAAGAAGAGGTGGAGAGTTACACCAAGCTAATTCAAAGGGATTTCATACTGCATAATAAAAGCCTCACCACCAACAGCATGGCTATTCCATGGAACAAGCACGTGTGCCTCTTAAGGGCCCCAGCACCCCACATCCTCCGTGCCACACAGCATTACTCAGAGCAAAAACCTATTGTATTAAGCAGCCCGATTCTCAAGATCAACACCTCTGCTACCCTGTCAAGCCTGGAAAACCTGGGAAGGTCACGAAGCAACAAGAAAGCGGTGAAGCTCGAGCTGGCATGCAGCAGAAAGCAAGTTTTCAGCCTCTACCTTTGGTTCTGCAGCTCTTGGATAGATGCTTTCTCTACTCATCCATTGCAAGAATGACATAAAACCGAGATGCTTAACATGCACCGGCACACTCATTCTCTGGAAATGCCACAGCTACTTAATGAGTGAAGCTGGGACAGCACCAAACCTGACACCATGAAGTCACAAATTTCCCTGCGTATGCTGACATCTCTTTAATGGTTCTTTGGCCACAAGCTGATGTATCAATTAATGTGGTCAGAACAGATTTAGTAGCTCAAGATATTGCAACTAATTTATCAGATTCCCAACTAGATTCCTAAATTTCCATTTCCTAGGTAAATACCTGGAAAAGCTATTGAGGCAGCATGTTTCACTACTGTCACCCTGAAAACTAAATCAAAAGGTTTTTATGTGCCAGAAGTTAACCCTGAGAACTTGTTTCTTGATTCTCAGCAGATACGTATAGATTTCTTTTTTCTTTTTCTTTGCCAGAAGATGAAGTTCTGGATCAACAGTTCAAGTTACACCAATGAAGCTCTGAAAGGCTGATTTTAAAGACCTTTCAGCCCTCTCCAAAGCTGCTTTTTCCAGAGAACAGAACAATCCTGCTTCCAAAATTCTTTCATCACCACCTCTTACTTATGCACTGAGCATAGCTCCTTTTCTATTTTTTTAAAATGAGTTGATGAATTAACCCAGCTAGACCACACTGCAAATAAACTCTGCCTCTCCTTCCAACACAGACCCATTCACAAGCATTTAAGTCTAAGACTCACCAGACAGAGCTGAAGTTGCAGGCAAGCCAGTCATCAGAGCTAAGAGAAGGATTATGCTTGCCCTACAAATTCTGAAGCATTTGAATCTTATTTTTAGTTGTACACAAAGGGCAATAAATGGAAAATCTTATTGTAACCACCACTTTTTCATGGCCACCCACACTTCCAACACCTACAGCAAAAGTATATAAATGCAAAAACCCCACAACTCATGGCTCATCTGAGAAAGGGACGCAAACTGGCTAATTGCTGCTACTTTTTTTCCAGTTTGCATTTAGAGTGCCATTATATTTTGCTAAACATCAGGGTCAGCTATTCGCATACCTACTGTCTGAGCTCCTGCTGGATTTTCATAGAGTTGTAGAATAGTCAGGGTTGGAAAGGATCTTATGATCATCTAGTTCCAACCCCCCTGCTGTGGACAGGGACACCTCACACTAGACCATGCCACCCAAGGCTCTGTTTTCACACATTTAATCAGTTGTTTTCTCTGAGTTACCTGGTAGAGTCCTTCTCTTAAGTGCACTGACCACTGATCAGTTTTTAAATGATGAAATGGAGGAGGTGCCTCTCCCTAACTCTCAGTTTCTCCCCCCACTTCCCAAACCTACCGAGGTACAAGGAGTTAATGCTTCACTTACCTGTGAGAAATTATGCTGAATACTCTACCCAGAAACTGGCAATTGAAAAAAAATCCCTTTACACTCATAACAGAAGAACTTCAAACAAATTGCTGTCAAGGATGATTTCATTGTGTTTAAATCTACTTCACTTCAAGCTGCTTTGCAAATTACTCTTTAATTTTATACCCCAAAACTTCCAAGTCTACTATGACGCCAGTTTACTCTCATCCGTCCTGTGCTCGATTCTTTCCATCTACCAAAAGTAACACAAGCATGAGCCTAATTATATCCAGAAAAACCTGCAGGAATCTAATTCGGTTAGCTGAGTAAAGAAGAAATAAAGAAAAAAGGTCTATCTTAAGACCAGACTCAACAAGCTTACAGATGATGCCGTGTCTGGGGATGGAGAAAGGAAAGGCAACAATATCATGTCATTAACTACCTTGCTGCCTCTGAAAGCACAAGTTATTATAGCCAGAAAAGCATCCACTCCAACACTTATACTTCTCAACTCTTTGCAAATCATAACAGGAAACACATCCCACAAGCTAGCCAACAATATTTAACAAAATAATCTAAGACAAAGGGTAAGCTCTGGAAAAATGTACCTGCCCTTTACCTGCCCTTTACCTTTACCTGCCCTTGCTCATTAACTGCGCACTAGACCCATTGCCTTCCCACAGCCTGTGGTCAGCCCAGTGCGGAGCAGGCTGTTCTCTCCACACGCCACTGAAATCAGTGTGTGCTTCTCTGGCGAGGATTTAGGTCATAGGACCCATGTGTTGAATGCTGCAGAATGTGGGCACCTAACTAATACGAAAATAAATGGGTCATACACCACTGAACTAACAACCACACCATCCCCAGGCCGGGCACTGAATGACTGTGCAGGGCTCTGCCAGTGGGAGAGGATAGGCTGAACCAGCAGTGAAAACGAAACTGATGTGGTGAGATGGAGTTTACTTTTCACTGGTCTGGCGACAGAGAAAGTTGATCCTCGCCATCATCATCTCTCAGTCTTTTCTGTAAAAAGAAAAAAAACCCACAAAACAACATGCAGGGGCACGTAAGCTGCCCTGTGGAGACAGGCCAGCACCTCCCCTCTCCTTGGTAAGGGGAAGTGCCACTGGCCCTGTGTGGTGGGAGAGCTGTGACTCAGTGCCCCAGGCTGACACACGCAGTGTCACCTGCAGCAGGGAAAAATAAAACTCCTTGCCACAACACGGCGGCCACGTGGGAAACACCGAGTCAACAGATCAATGACACCGCCTGCCCACGCGGCCCGGCGCACCGCTGGGGTGAGCAAACAAACCAACCTGTGGTCAGTGCCAGCAAAACAGTTTGTTTCATATGGTGTGCTACACCACCATAAACACCACTGTCCTCCTCCGCTGTACCAGCTAAACACAGCCAAACACAAGCGGGATGCTCCTCCTGGCTGCACAGCCCCGGATCACCATGCACACCTGGATGGGGATGTCTCTGGCATGGGGCTCTTGGTCAGAACTATCCAGAGAGGGACTTCAGCTCACCACCCACCCCACGTGTGCACATGCAGACGCTGTGTGTGAAGCTACACCAGCACTTTTCAGACCAGACTGATTATATCTGTCAAGACATATATATGTATTTTAATTACATACTTACATATATATGTCTATTATATATAGATATATTTTATTTATACACACACATGCATACATATGTATATATAAATAAACCCCCATGTTTAATCAACAGATATATTTGCAGCAAACACCTACCAAAAGCTGTGCCTGGCGGCTACCCAGGTTTGGGGTACAGCCTGCCTTGTGAATACAGAGAGTGCCCAGGAGCACCTGATCACACCAAGGGACCAATGTAGTGCTGGCAGGGGTCAATGGCAGGGGGCAGCATAAGTAACCAGATCAATCAGCAGCAAAGATTTCCCTTATATTGTAGGAAAATGCTTGTTGGCATTTGTGAGCACTATGCCTAGGACAGGATGCCATGGGAGGTCGTGAAGCTCCCCAGGGTGGGAGAAGCATGAGATGTTGCTTGATGTGCAGAGCCCTGTATGCCAGTACCATAAAATGGGTTAGAACATGCCTTCTCCACTATAAGAACAGCACTCCAGCACGAAAATGTGCCAGAAACATCATGAAATCCAGATGTGGCCACATCTTGCATCAAAATCCAGGAGGATAAAATCATCATGTCCTCAGGTATGGCCATGGCTCTTTGGGTTTGGTAGCGAGCATTAGGAGTGTTTGGTAAGTCAGTGTTCAAAGGGATGCGACTTTGCCTCCAAAAATCCAATTTCTTTCTTAATTCAGCCAAGTTACCTGACCTTTCAGTGCAGATTTTTAAGATATGTTTTTCCCAGGCTGTGGTAGGCGGGTGACAGACATTTAATCACCAGAATCTGCATCATAAAATTTTACATTATTTACATCTGCCTACAGATGGCTGTAGGACAGGCTTCAAGAAATCTGCTCTAAAATTTCTGAAGCATTCTGAAGAGCTCATACCTAGCAAATAGCAAATTTGCGTGCAGGCGTTCCTGTGGTTCGGATTACCCTTTTTTGTTTTATCTGAACAAAGCACTTGAATGGCTGAATTCTGACCACTGGACAAGCAGCACAAATCAGGACAGTTTATTAGATGCAGAATGCTGTTGATGGGAAGTTATTTTTGCTGCTTTTAAAGGAAAGCACACGGGGGTAAAACACAGGGAGAAATGTGAGCAGGGTGTGGAAATTGCTAGGAATCACCACCCGTCTCTGCTGGGATGCCAGCAGCCCTGCCCCAGCATCTGCTCCAAGCCACAACCATGTCCCCAGTGCCTGAGCAAAGCCCCATCCATACTCTGCCATGAGCAACTGTTCAGGATAACAGTGAGTCGCTCAGCAGAGCATAGCTTTTCCCTAATTCCTGTACTCCCTCATTATCATACACATGGTCTAAACCTGCCCAGGATTAATTCCCAGGGGACCTGGAAAAAAGTTTTTTATCTCAGCACATGCACCATGACAGGGTTTTGCAATCTACGCTGTCAGAATAAGGAAGACCCCTTTTGCTTTGAATTTAAACATCAAATATGTATTATTTTTATGAAGATCGTATTAATCAGTATCCTTAGTTTTATAAAAACTAAGTAATAAATGGAAGGAGGCTAGGGGAAGGCATACTTATTTAGGAAATACACTGCACCCCCCTGGAAAAAGCAAGGGGAATACAGTTGTTACAGCTGGGTCTGCCTGGTGCAACTGCTCTTTCTGACAGGGCTAATGAACAAGAGGAAGTTGCTTCTATGGGAATTGCAATAGCAAGGTAATTGTTACAAGCAGAGTTTGTATCAAAACAAGCCAGCCAGTGGGAAGCACTCGTAAGTAAGCAACTGTCAGCTTGCCCTGGCATCTACTTCTGCCAGCACGGATCTGCATTCACAATGGGTACAACCCTGGCCAACAACCTAACAGGTGATACATGTGTTTCCTAGAAGATAGAGCACACATCAACTTTTAAAAGCTTGACTTATCTTGAGCACAAGACTACAGTTAAAAAAAAGGAAAACATGTATTTCATGACAGTTTCTATATCCTGATTTTCAAGTTTATTTGGCCCTCAGACCTATTTTACTGTTGGAAATGGAGACTTCTGATTATTTGCAGCTCAAGAAGTACCAAGACAAACTTCCTATGCACTTTTTGGAATGAGAGGGGTTTTTCTATTTATGTCCATTCAGTTTCTGGCTGTTTTTTTTTCAAGACCTAAGAAGGATATCATTTTTAAAGTTATTTCCTCTGAAAGGTTTTTTAATAGTGAATTTACAAGATGCCTAATGATAAGCTTTTCAAGTATCACGAGAAAAGCCTGCAAAAATTTATGAATAAGGCTTCCAAACCTCATGGGAATGGTGCTAAGTAGGACTAATGAACAATGTGTTGTTTCTGCCTGCCTAGCTGTTAACAACTCCTATTTTCAAGTTTTCTTCTCTTAAGACAAGTGCTAGAAACAAGTTTCAAAACAGACCCAAAACTGTCCTGTAGTCAGATGACTCCTGCTATTGCAGATCTGATTAATAATTGCACCACATATTGTGAAGCTCACAATGAAATGGCAACGCCCTCCCTTTTCTGGAAAACAAAACCAAACCAACAACTTGTAAGGCCTATTTGACAGCAAATTCCATGACAATCCTCCCCCTTTCTCCATTCCTTACTACCTTCACTACTATTTTTCCTGATACTGATTGCACCAGAAAATATTTTCCCCTCTCTTTACAAAAGGAATCTCTGTGTGCATTAAAACCCCAGTCCTCCTCTGCAATGGATTTTTCATGTTTTAAATAATTCTTCTGGTGTCACTTAAGCAAATAAAATAAATGAAGGTGCATTTCTAATACAAGCTCTTCAATTCCAAAATACTCCTATATTTTTAGAAGTAGCATTACCAACTGTGTAAGCATTCAAGAAAAACTGACCAGCAATGAGTGCTGTGGTCAGCTTCACTGCCCTGTGCTGATTAACAGTTGAAATGCCTTGTATACATTTGTACTGCAGTGAATGAACAAGGGCAGGAACATGCACAGTGCCACACTGTGAACCATGACTTTGTATTGCCTCTGGCTCAGGTGGCCTTTTGCCAAGCTGCTCTACCCCATCATCTTCAAGAGGAAAACCTGCTAACCACAATGAGACCTGCTTTTATTTTAAAGCAATAAAGTTGTGCTCAAGCCTTTTGCCAAACTTGGCAGCTCTAAGGTGTCCCACCCCCTGGACAGCACATCCATGCCACACTTATAATAGTCCAAAGAACTTCCATCTCCAGATCCATGCCAGAATGAGGGTTAGAACCCCCCAAAAGTTAAAAAGGATCAAACTTGTTTCCCCTGTCCAGAACAGCCCACTGATTCGGTGCCAGTCTTATGCTATGTGAGGTTTGAGAGGAGGATTTAGCCACGATGGGGGAACAAAACATGTGCACAGTGCCATAGCCGCTCCCTCTCCTGGGAGGAAAAACCAAAGCACAGGACACACACCAGGAACTACGAACCAAGACTGAGGAGAGAGTAAGGAGTCTGCAGCCTCCTCAATCCCCTCTGACCCTACCAGATCTGTGCACAACTTTCTCCACCGTCCTACAGCCAGGTGGAGCAGATAATCCCACATGGGGGGCACTGGAGGTGGCAAAGAAGGTGCTACTGATGCTTAAAGGGCCTTTTGGGGCAGCAGGCTGAAAGGAGAAGCAGCAAGAGGGCTCCTTCAGAGGAAGTATTCTGGAAACCCCAAAGAAGGAGGATATGGGTTCTATGATGAGAAAAATACTGGGATGCCAGCAGTCCTGCCGAGCAAATGGTGGCCTCCAAACTCAAGCAGAGCACATGTGTTTTTGACACATCACACCGTGGTAAGCGTACACACACTCACCCAGTTGTGGAGAAAAACAAAGTGTAGTTAGGGGGGTGGGGTGAAGAAATATATTTTAAGTACTTCTTACTATGGTTTACTATGGTAGCAGAACACTTAGAAAAGCCTTCAAAATGACAATCACCATCTTGGTTAAAAAAGCAAGTAACTATTTCAATAACAATTTATTCACCACCTAATGTTTGATGCTGAATTACAGCTTTTACAGTATTTTTCTAAAGTATGATGTTTACTGCCTCCACCTTGCCACCCCAGGACCCTTTTTTTTTTTCTTTTCTTTTTTCTTTAAATAGAAAGGAATTTGAATCATAACTTACATGTAACTTTTCTAGGTTCTGTGCTGGCTAAAGTGTTCTCACGATGCAGGGAACAGGATCAGTGGAGAAAGTAAGAGGCTGCAGCAATCCATTAAGAACTGACCCTCCAAAGCTTTGTAGGGCAATGCTCTGGCAACTCAAGTCGATAGCAACCTAAAATAAAATAAAGGTAGGCATTAAAAAATTCAAGCACTGGATCTTCAGAAAATTTTTCTTTTTCCCTTCCCTTTCCTTTTTCCTTTCCTCTTCCCTTTCCTTTCCTCTTTCCTTTCCTTTTTCCTTTCCTCTCCCCTTTCCTTTCCTCTTTCCTCTTCTTTCCTCTTTCCTTTCTTCTTTTCTTTTTTCTTTTATTTTCTTTTTCTTTTCTTTTTTCCTTCTATTTGGGAGCTGCTTTTTTTTTTTTTAAACAACAGAAGGTCTTTATGTCAGATATGACAATTACATTATGCCCATTATATACCTCCTCTTACATTTAAGCTGTAGACATCTTACAACAAAGACTGTTTTCTTCGCATTCATACAGGACCCAGACATCGGAGGCTTCTGAGAACAGCTACAGGAAAATTAACACTTCTGTGATTATTCTACTAGATCATACCACAGGTATGTGCATACTTATGAACACATACTAGGAAATTCTTTATGACGAGAGTGGTGAGCCACTGGCACATGCTGCCCAGAGAATCTGTGACTGCCCCATCCCTGTCAGTGCTCAAGGCCAGGTTGGATGGGGCTTTGAGTGACCAGGTTAAAAGCTAGATCAGCTTTTAAGCTCAACCCAAACCATTCTGCGGTTCTATAAAACTGCACATTGCTCCAGAAGCGTGTTCCAACAAAACCAGCAAAATGATCAAACAGACTTTTAAGCAACAACCCTGGCTTTTGTCAATGCTTTGCTTTGATTTCAGTTAGGAATTTAAGTCAAGAACACCAAATTTGTTCCTTTGTTTCCACTTTATTCTGGGGAGCTTCAGAGAGGAAACACCATCAGCATAGTTCCGTACCCCCCGGGTCAATGCAATGTGCGTATTATTCCTCCGTCCCTCCTAAAGCAAAGCTGCCTGTCACACCAATCTTCATAAAAGAAAATTGGAGAGGGAAGAAAACGTTAAGTTTGCTGTGTGTGCCCACAGCAAATTCATGGTGCTGCCATTGCCGTGCAAGGGGTTCGGGGCTCATTCCCTGGAAGGGAGACACTCTGGGACAGGGAGGGCTGGAAGAGGGTGACACCCCTCCCGGCACCCAAGTCCCAGCATCCCCATACAGCCCAGATCCCACTCAATGACTAGTCCCAGCTGACTTGAAAAGGCATCCCCCTATCTATCAATGAAGCGGTCACACTCTGAAGTGGCTGGGGAGGAGGGTGGGAAGGAAATACTTGTGGAAGGCAAAGTAATTATTTTTAAGCTACAGGGGGGTTTCAAATTGGAGTTTTCAAGTTGCCAGTGCCCAACACTTCACTGTTTTCCTGGGGAAAAGAAACACCTGAATGCTTAACTACTATTTACTTGAATAAAGTTGTGATTGGGAGTGGAAAGGAATATGAGTTTCTTTTGAACAGAAGGGGACAGCAGCAGTACAAGCAGTGGCATTTATCTATCTTCCCAGGATTATTGCAAGGGCTGTGTTTGCAGAATGACCACAAACTAGATAAAGCTAGATAAAAGGGAGAGGTGAGGGGAAGTTAAAAATCCTACTACTGTTTTTCTGAAATTTGCAAAATGAACTCCTCAGGAAAAAACTTCAGGTTTCTCAAGAAATGTCTACTGACTCCGTAAAAAGGCCAAAAAATAGATCAGAGCAGAGCAAATTGAAGAGGTTTGATTGTTGCTTTTTGTAAGCATGCTTGTATGTTTGATGTTTTCTGGGGACTGATGCTACACCATTTTACTCCAAGCCTTCTAGAGAACTGATCACTTATGAGAAGCAGGTTATTTCTTCTGGATGACACTCTCCTAGATGATTTACTAACAGATGTTCTAAATACTGCTACATTTAAGGATTACTTATATGGGTACTTGAAAAGAATCATGAGGCAATGCCAGGAACACAATGCTTGTGTGCAGCCAGTTTATGTAATTTCCTCCAACGGGGCATAATATTCATTGACAGACTGTTAAGAGGACCGAATATTTATGGTCACAAATATATATTATCTAAATTGCCTATAAAACTAAAAATATAAACTCAAATCTGTTCAGTCATAAATCACTGGTAGAACAAAAATAACTGCTGCTTACTCAATAGCAAAAGGAATAAAACCAGAGAAGGCTCTGTGCTTTCAAGGACAAGTCAGTTTTCCGAGCTAAAGTTGCACTTGCCACACCATATCAGAAGGAAAGGAGAATAAACAGAAGTGGAGAACAGGGAAACAAGAAAAGAAGCGGGGGCGGGGGGAAAACTTCCAGTGCCATGTTTTTCTGAGAAGGTGTGATTGATGTTCACTGCTGTAGAAATCATGAGGCTACATCCCAAACATTTCATTCCCTCTGCAAACGTCTCACTCCGTGTATCACCCCATGTTCCCTAGATATTATTGCCCTACACAGGATGATCCAGCCAGCATCAGGTTTTACACATGATCTAAAACACGAAAGCAGGAATCTCTCTGCCCAGGGGTCAGCTTAGGGTAGAATGAAACCCAACTCCCCTGCCTATGCTCAACATGGGAGCTTCTTCATGCTCTCCATTCAATAAAAGAATTTTCTTTCTGAAACAGGCAAATTGTTAAAAGCAAAACTGTTGCTGCAGCTGGAAACTTACAAGGAATACATGAAAACTGAACTTATACAAAAGGAAGAGCCAACAATGCATCTACTGAAGAGGAGTTTCAGCATTTTAACATGCTGACCAGCCACATTTACAGCATGGGAAGAGCTGGATCCTAGGCAGGGGCAGACGCTCTGTCCACTCCAAGGCTTGCTCACATGAAGATCTCTGCTCTCAGCACAGGCTTCCATATGTAGGCAATCAGTTACACAATCTGAGAAGCGACAAAATCACTATTCTACGCCAACTTGAAGACCCAGTTCCTGAAGTCATGGGGGGTGCCAGGAAACCTTATCTTTATTTTTAAAAGCATTTGTCTTCACAGCTGCAGAGAAAGCTAAAGAAATGACAATACTTCAAAACAGACACTGTGTTTAAAAAAACTCACGTTGTTTAAAGACTTCTGTACAGTTTTTGAATCAGGTTGCCTTTCTCCCCTTTGTGAGGGCTTCTAGTACTGCATGGTGGCTCAAGTTAGCACTGAAGAATGCAAATGTAAAGGAAGACGCACCAGACATCACAACTGGCAGAAGGAAGCATGATGCTTAAAAGGTATGTACTTCACAAAAACACCTTCCAGCTTGGATTTATGTTAAACAGAGGGTATGTTTCAAAGAGAGCTTTTGTTGTTAATGCAAAATAACAAGAGCTTTGACGTTTAAAGAGGCGGAAAGCTGGTAAGTTCTTCAGTTTGCAGTGAACAAACCAATAAAGATGATGAAAAGAGCACAATGAACGCACCTGGGTATTACTCCAATTCACATGAAATATATTTTCAGACACATTAAATCACGTAATCATGCTCAAGAAAACCAGAGAAGTTGGGTGGGCAATGAGGGAGGTGAGCAACAAGTACACAGTGGGGTTTCAAAACACACTAATGTTCACAATGGGTCCATAACATCAGGGTAAGTAAAATGAACACACAGGACAAGATGAGTCAGTGAGCTTCTCACAGATGTGGACAGGAGAAAAAGTATGTAAGGAAAGCTGTGCACCAGTGAGCAGGGAGAAGTGAGCACTGATGTGCTAACAGAGCTGGTGCTCTCTGAAGCAACACCTCACTTGGTGGAGTGCAATGCTTACACAAATGTGCAGTGTCATTAGTCCCAGTGAAGTCAAGGATACCAGTCTGCTACATGCAATACCATCACAGGTTAGCAAATGCGTCTTCTTTACATTTTGTGTGCTTTCGGGTGAAGCTGAAGAATATTTCTTTCTGGTTGAAACAGCTTCATTGGAACATTTATAGCTTGCAACTGCTTGAAGGATCGCCTGAGGCTGAGAAGGCATTTGCAGTGCTTTTGACATCTAGTGCAGGATCTCTCCCTGAAATCTCTAAATTAGACCCAGGATGTTATTGATACCTATGTCAGAAAAGATATATGGCCTGCTTCACTATTACTGCATTTAATTTCCTCCTAATAACCTGCTCGGTTTTTCCAAAGAAGAACTTGTCCATCACTTCTCTTAACGTGCACCATTTGGCCAGAAGCAGCCAAAACCATGAGTCTGAAGGGCACAGCAGCTTCTTCCCCAGTGCCCAGAGGTGGGATACAGAAGACTACCACAACCACGGAGGTGTGGATCAGATGCAGGGAGGTACCCACCCAGGACCACAAGGCCTGGCTCTGTGGTACATCCCTATCTGGGTGACTTGTGTCAACAGTCAGTGGAGATGAGAATAGGCCATTTCTTCAGATAATCAGGAATCAGTCTGTCTAGAAACCATGACTGAAGTCATCAGGAGAAGCAGCAGGATAACTGCCGCTGACTGACTGAAGGGGAAGGCAGCTGGTGCCTCCCTGCGCTGACCAGGGAAGCACTCCAGGGTCTGCAACTGGATTTTCCCCAGCTACACTTAACAGCACTAACTGGGCTTAAATGGAAAACCTGCAGAGCTGCTGAGGCATAGGCATGGGGGGAATTTTCCACCCCCTCTTGTCCTCTGGTTGAAGTCAACTCTGTGACACATCAACCATGCTGGGCTAGGAGAAGTGGGAGACTGTAGCTCAAGAACATCACCACAGGAACTTACAAATCTCTTCACGTAAAATCTGAATGACTTTATCATTGGAATATACTTGACGGAAAATCAAGAAAAAATGTTTTATCTTGGTGGTATGACTCATGAAAGAATGGTTAGGTGCAAAAGGAACGTTATCAAATGACACAAGATGAGTGTGCCCCATGCAGTAAAACCAAAACAAAGCAAAGTCACAGCCTAATACTTTGTGTCAGATCTGATGAAAATTCAGATATCTGTCTTATTTCTCCTTAAGGACTGGAAATTTTGATTCATACACATGCAAACTGGAGAACATAAGATGGTTCAGGGATGAGGACGAAACTGCTGTTCTGGAGCCTGGCATCTCAGACGACAA